AAGACTGCATCTCCAAAATAGACCATAACAAAATAGACTGTAGGTGTGGCTCAAGCAGTAGAGCATCTCCTTTGTAAACACCAAGCCCTGCGTTTAAACCTCAGTCCAGCCAAAGAAAAATCATACAGATAAGGGGAAACTACTGTATGGCTTAAGAAAAAGTAAGCTCTCTAGTCTTTAAGTTTGCAAGTCTTAAAAAAAGGGAATTTATTGCATGTAGTCTCTATATTTTAATTTAGAATTTTCATGGTTACTTTTGTTCAGCATCAGCCCTATCTTTTTTGGGGGGGGGACTGGTTTCACTCTTGCATAGCAGGCACTCTACTGCTTGAGCCAATGCACTCCAGTACTCTCAGCATCTTTAGGCCACAAGAAAAAACATGCCCAAATGGTTCATAGAGGGATACTCTCCTACCTGAATGGGTACGTAAGTACGTTTTACAAAGCCAGTGGAAAGCATACTTAAGGTAGTGTTTGCCATTGTTGTTATTGGCCTCAGCATGGGGTTCTTGGTGCACACATTTAAAACAGCCATGGCTGTGCATTTGTCACTATCAACGGTAAAGAGACAGCTTGACTCTGATCCATCAAGGAACACGTCATGGAGTATGTGCATTGAATTCTGATATGTTCGTTTGCTTCATGTTATCTTTATTACAGACTGTTGGAAGCAGATTAAATATCCCTTTGCCAGGCATCAGTCAGCAGAGTTTACTATCAGCTATGACAATGAGAAGGAAATTACACAAAAGTTAGATCTCGTCACCAGTGATATGGCAGGTAAGTGTCATAGCCCTGAGACAATGCTATTAGATAAGAGGTGCTGCTTGTGGAGAGAGGAGGGACAAGAGAAAAATAAGACTAAAATCCTTTAATAAAGCAGAATTTTTTTTTCTGCACAAAGTTACAAACTGGCACTGACATATTATTCATCAGCTCCATTTGTTTGAGTCTTACAGGCCTGCTGGACACATGGCATTCATGGCAGTGGCCTGAAGAACTGCTGGTCTCATGAAGCCCTTAATTTGTATTTGTTACCAAGATTTTGATTAAAGCTCCAGGAAAGAGTGACTAGAAAGATGAATTAAATACCACCCCCTGCCCTTGAGGAGGAGGTAGATGAAGGGACTCTGCAGGTTTTCAAATGGCTTCAATGTCCCTGAGAAGCCATCAGTGTGTCATCTGTCTTTGCCAATTTTACTACCTGACTTTCCTTCTTCATTTTGCCTCCAGAGTTATCTCAGACTGTGCCAGTCTGTTAGTTTCTATAGAATTAAACCAAACTTTGTTAGCAAGGCAACCACCTTGTCCTATGACCATTAACAGAGCACACACTTTAAATATGGGCTCGAGTCCTGACTCCACTGCCTGCTAGCTATATGTCTGGGAAGAGTTCCTTAGTCTTCCTCTGCTTTGTTTTCCCATTTGTGACTTGGAGTAATAGTCCTATCTCATAGGATTTTTATTAAAAGATTTAATTCATATCTTACTATCTTAGAATCGTGTCTGGCACAGATTTAGGGTTCAATAAATGTGAGCTCTTTTATTATTCTGGTCATCACTAAACTCAGACCTATTGCTTTGGTCTTTATTTCCATTAAACAACTGTGCCATAGTCTCTCATTCTCTGGTCATATCAGACTACTTTCATGGATGTCCTTAATTCTCTTTTCTCAGGGTTACCACCACCTCCAAACTTTAGCACCTCAAGGACTAGTTTTAAAGCCACTTCCTTCATGAATCACTTTCCCCTGCCATAGGGTGTAACATACTCTCTTCTCTAGGTTCCTGTGACCCTTGGAGGGTTCCTGAAGTCCCAGTATGCTTTTTTTTTTTTTTTTTTATAAGTCCCTATGTGTGTCATCAGGCTTGCATCTCGTGTTTCCCACAGAACCTGGGACACTCTAGGTGCTCGGTGGAAAACAGTGGAGGGGAAAGAAGAGTATCCCCAGCGACCAGCTAGCTGGCTTGCATTTGGATGTGGTGCTGCAAAAATGATGCGTGTTTTCTTTTGGTTTCAGATTACCAGCAGCCTCTCATGATTGGCACCGGGACAGTCACCAGGAAGGGCTCCACCTTCCGGCCCATGGATAGTGATGCCGGGAGAACGCGGCGAGCACGGATGTCGGCGGCCACTACGACTGCCCCCACCGCGCGGACCGTCACGAATACGCGCTCCCCTTGACCCACGCAGAGCCCGAGTACGCCACGCCCATCGTGGAGCGGCACCTGCTGCGCGCCCACTCGTTCTCGGCTGCTCAGAGCGGTCACCGAGCGGGGCCCGCACCCGCCCACAAACATTCCCTGTCCTCCGGGGGCTTCTCCCCTGCCGCAGGGGCCCCCAGGGGGGACTATCAGATGCCACCAAGCCCCAAGCCTGCAGACAGAGACTATGACAAGCCCAAGACCAGCAGCTTCTTGACTGCGGAGAGCGGAGACCCTGCCTCTCAGAAGGTTCAGATGCGTCCTGGGATGAATGATGGTTATTCAGCCCCCAGAAACTGCTTCACACCGCTCAACCAGACGGCCATGACTGCTCTTTTGTGAACACAATGTGAAAGAAACCTGCTGTGGTGCTGAGCGTGCGGCTGTTACAAGTCACTGGAAGACCTATGCGTGTGTATGATTTAATAGGATCCTAGAGACAACCTCTCATACTGTTTACAAAACTGGGCAGTTGGTTTTGTTCTTACCCTTAGCTTGAGAGCCCATTGGGTTCTATTGGGCTATAAAAATGAAAAAATTCAGAAGGCATTTTCATTTCTCTAACTGTGATACTGAGCTGCTTTAGTATAAAATGTGCAATCTGTACAGAGTCGTATTTAACAAGCATTAAAGTAACCTAAGTTGGCTTTGTCAGATTGTAGTTCTGTACAGAGGTGAAGTGGAAAATGAGACTGTTGCATAAACATACAGTAATATGTGGTCTTTTTTTTTTTTCAATGTGGTTGATACTGTGTGAGCAGCAGGTCTGTTTAAAACAACCTTTTATTGTGGCTCATTTCCTTTCCTTTGATAACTAAAACTAAGCTTTTTTTTTAGCATTCTTCTCCTGGAAGAAATGAAATTACTTGAAGTATGAAAAGCACGTGGTGGGGGGGGGGGGTTGGCAATGGTGATTGTAGATTTAAAAAGGAATACACTTCACCTCAGCAGCTGCCTGTCTCTGCAGATCCACTTCAGAAGGCTCCAGGATCTGTAGCCTGCAGAGGCTTTAGCTGATCTGGGCCTGACAGAGTGGCCTTCTTCCTACTTTACTGTCTCCTCACCTCAGGCCTGGCGAATATTATGCAGCCTTTATATGCAAATCTACCTTTTCAAACCCCAACACCAAAATACTGAGACAGGCAATTCCCAGCTGTTCTTTCAACAATTTGCAATGAAGGTGCACAGCAACTACAGCCAAATTACGGCTTCACATGTTTCTGTGCCTCATTAAAATTATTGCAGAGGACAAAAGCCTTATGCTTTTCATAATTTTCCTCAGAAATAACGTGTGTTAGTGACTTCCACTGTGCCCTAGAGAACAAAAATGTTATTTGAAATGTGTTCCTACGAAAGTGATCAAGGCCAAGTCTAAACAGAGCTTTTCTACTAACATGGTTGGGAGCTGAACTGATTTTGTGAAAAACTATTTTCTCCTGAGTATGTAACCCAGACTTCAGTTGTACCTCAAGTTCAATGGTTGCTTTCTGAGTTTGCTTTGTGAATTAATTGTTGGGGATTTACCTCTTTTGCCAAAGAGGAAAGTGTATATTTTGTTTTTTAATAGAAAATATGAACCAAAAAAAAAAATCCTTTCCCTAAAAAATGTATTAGAACCCTATTTGTGTGGATATCGCTTTCTGTGAAATGTATATATGTTAAAATAGTGAGGGTGCTGGAAGGTCATGGCAGACTATCTGCGGTGGTTACAGAAGACCATTTAATTTGTGGAGTTTACATGTGGATACTAATTGTAATAAACTATGCCCAATCAGAGAACCCCCGACTTTTATTGGGGCCTTGCTTACTGGGCCATTGGGAGCGTAATCCTATTGTTAGGAAAAACACCACTCACAAAGAAAGCCCATGAGAAAAGTCTCACGTCCATAGAGCAAAGTTTAATGGCGGGCCCAAACTGCCAGGCTGGCCGGGGAAAAGATGGTGCAGCCATGAATCTGGGCCTTGTGTGGGTTTTATACAAGAGGAAGGTTAAGGAAGTTTGCACGTGCAGTGGGTGGGGCTGTTTAGAGGGTCGGAATTTCTGTTAAGGGCAGGGCTGTCCTTGGGAGTTTCTCAAGTGAGGGCTGAGGATAAAATGGCCACTGATTTATAAATGGCAACATTATTGTTCTATCATTCCCCATTTTTTTTTTTAATAATGATGAGGGTAGGGGCTGAGGATCAGGAATTGGGGCAAAACATCGGTCTCTTTAGCTGCTTCCTGCTGGCAGGGAGCATTGCATGGGCAGGATCCTCAGGCTCCTTTGTCCTGGTGGGGGCCCTCATAGCAGTCCTCTGGATAGTTTTGGAGCGGTTGATATTCCTGGAGGTACAACTGGTTAAACTTTTGATTAGCAATGGCAGACATGTAGTATGATACAAGGGAGGAAGCTTAAGAGTAGGAGAGCAAGAAACAGGCATTAGGATGGGCATTGGCCAGGAGAACCACTGTGAAATGTTCCCTAAACAATTTCAAGAGTCCTCCATTTCCCTTTTCCATTTTTCTAACTGTTCCTTGAGAAGTGCCACCATTGGGGGATCCCATTGAGCTTGACAGCAGTGGGTGTCATGAGAATTACCAGATGAGGGCTGGTCCACTGAAGTCCCAATGGAGAGGGTAGAAGATCCTTTAAGGAGAACAAGATCTCCTGGTTTAACAGAAATTGTTATAGGGTGGGGCAGGATCTGGTCTGCATGCTCTCTGAGAAGTTCCCTGAGAAGGTTAAGGTAAGGCAGGTAGTCAGCCAGAGGAGCAGAGTCTGTTGGAGGCAAGTTTTCTAAGAGAAAGGGGTGGCCATACATTATTTAAGACCCAAATAGGAATAGGAGGAGCATAAAAAGGTGTCTGCTAAGGGACTGCATATCTAGGGAATCTAAATTCTTCAAAATCCTATAACTCCCAAGCTTGCTGTAAGCTGTCTTATGGTATGGGGGGAGGAAAATGGAAGATTGGGTTGATGCACTTATGACTCAGGGAGTGAGTCTGTCCCTCCCTGTGGGAGACAGGGGCTGTCAGGATTTAAATGTAACACTCTTTGATAAAAGAGAGATTTAGCTCATTTTATATGAATTGACACTTTTAACTTTGTAAATGTTTGTACCATATTTAGATAAAGTATAGCTACAACACTGTTACAAGGTGGTCATTTAAGACACATAAGTAAATATGTAAATGAACTCTGATTTAGTAGTACTTAAAGCTTGACAAGATCAGCAGAAAACACAAATAATTTCTTTGATAAAATCTCTGTAACGGTTTTTTTGTAGATGTTAGAGCAGAACAATATTAAGATAAACTTGTTATTTTATAATTTGATTTTAGTTTGCCATGACCCTAAAAATCTTTTAAGCAACTCTTATACTCAAATTTAACTTTATTACCCATTGAAGCTTTTTATTATACACTTTTAAAACTTATTCAGACCTTTATATAACATACTAAACCCTTTGATGGCTTGTCTTTATCCCTCCTATTTGAAACACTCTTTAGGACAAATCCTTTTTCACAAAATCCTTTCTCATTCAAAAACATTTCTTTTTCCTTTAACTTCTCAAAAAATACATTTACTACCTACCTATATCCTTTTTAGTTGTTTACTTTGTAACTTGTATTTTAAAATTAACTTTTATAAGAATTTTGAATTTATTATATGGACTGGAGTAACTAATTAGTAGCCCTTGTTTTTCAAGGAATTTAATGATAGGCATAAGACCTTATTATTCCTCAGAGGGGCTTGAGGGGATATTGTTTTGGGTGTGGAAACTGTGAGGAATTTGAGTTTTATTTGAATAGGGAGGCCATCCAGTCTCACCCTACACTCATCTCATCAGTCCACACTGTGGAACCTATTTGTTCCTGAAGGAAGGGGCAGCAGAAATAGCTGCCTGGGGGGAGGAGAATTTGAGTTTTTAGTTTAGATAGTAAATCTTGTTCCAGCAGGGACATTGGAGTTTTAGGTACTGTGAGGAAAGAGTGACAGAAGAGGAGGTCTCCCCAAGAGCAGGCCAGAGGCTGGGTAAACTAGCACTCTAGGGGCTAGCCAGATTTGCCCCAAACGATAACTTTTGTCATTGGACCAGGGACCTGGAGAGAAAGGTAAAACAGAGAAATGAGCTCCACTGTCTAGCTGGAAAATGATCCTTTGTTTTTCTGCCATCACTGGCTACTCCGAAGCTCCTCAACATCGATGCCAAGAAGTGGAGCATGGACAGGGGGCCAGGACCCATCAATCCATAGGAGGTAGCATCTCACCTTCCATCTGGAGACGGGCACTTAGACCTCCAGTGGTTACCTTTGCAGAGAGGGCAGGGTCCTGGTTGGGGGGGCGGGGCTTTTCTCCCAGGCTGTCCCCCCTTAAGCATTCTCTGCAGAAGTGCCCCTCCTGTCCACCATGGTAGCAAGTTCAGGATGCAGGCCCCAGTCGAGTGGGGACAGCAATGAGGTCATGTCTCTTATCTTTCTGTTAGTAATGTCCCAATTATAATATACAGACATGGCTAGTTGTATTAGTTGATCCAATGACTTTTCTCCTTCAGCCATAGACTGAGGTTTCTACAAATAGCAGTGGCTGACTGTTAGAAATTTATCTTTGAGAAGAACCTCTCTCACCTGTGACTCTGGGTCCACCCTGGTATGCTCTCTGATAGCATCTTTAAGATGTTGTAGAACAGTAAGGGGATTTTCTTTAGGACGTGGCTGTAAAGTAAAGTTATTTTACATTGACACCTGACACTCTGGAGAGCAGGTCTCTGAACTGTTCTGGGCCTCAGTTTCCTCATGTGAAGAATGAAGGATCTGGTCTAGGTTAAACTACTTTCTTTCACTATGAGATGGCTGAAGTGTCATTAATGCCACTTATCCTCCTCACCATTTTTTTTTTTTTTTTTTTTTGGTTTACTAATGTTAGGAAATTGAACCCAGGGCTTTGTACATGCTGGGCAGACATTTTTTCACTGAGCTACATTCTCATCCCTGAATATCTTATGTCTTTGGCTGTATTGGATTTGAATTTAGGGTTTTATGTCTGTAAAGTGGCACTCTATTGCTTGAGCCATATCACCAGCCCCTTTTGGTGTGGATCTGTTAAGGGAACTGTCTGTGCCCCTGTAAGTAGGCACATTTATTCACTCATTTTTAGGTGCTACTAGTATTGGGGCTCATTGTAAATGGTAATCATTTCCAACCTGAGCGGCCTGGGCCAGAACCCATTGCTTTTCTAATGAGAAAAGAATCTGGTCTAGTAGAAGCATAATATCCTTTCATGTCAATTGAAAGGTTTGGATCACAGAGATAAAGGCTTGAATGTATTTGTCTGGGCATCAGTACAGCTGTTTAGATGTTTTTAAATATCCCTTAGATCTGATAACTGGAAGGGGACATAAGACTTCCCCTCTTCCTACCATTGCCTGTTGAACCTCAGTTTACTTTTTTTACTTTTATAGAAAAGTTCTAATTGGAGTATGGTATTATAATTTAAGGAACCCTGTGAAGGCCACTTCTCTTGGTCACCCAAGGCATATTGAGGCCAGACCTCAGTACAAAGCTTTTAACATCTACAAGCCAGAAGACTGGAAGGTGCAGATCCCATCTAGAAAGAACAAAACATTAGGATTCTGTCTTTTAGCTAACAGCAGGCAGCCTCTTTAATAAAGGCTACTTTTTTAACAAAGGAATAAATCTTCTGTACAGTTAGAGAAGGGCATTCAGAGGGCACCCCAGGCCAATAACAGTACCATACTGTCCATTTTGAGATTTTGGAGACTGTAACCTTGAGCTAACAATTGGCTTACAAGGGCTGGGTCTGATGCCCCAAGGTGTGAGGTAGGGCTAGGAGCAGGGCTTGTGCAAGGTGCCACTCCCTCCACACACAC